AGTTGGAGGTTGCTGTGAGCTGTAATGCCACGGCACTCTACCCAGGGGGGACAGCTTGAGGCTCTGTCTCAAAAAAAAAAAAAAAAAAAAAGAAACATTTCTTCCACTGGAGCCTCCAGTGGATGAATATAAAACTTGTAATCAAGATAGACCCAGGAAATGAATTTGGTTTGCAGGAAACTTGCCTTGAAATATCATCCCGACAAGAACCCTGATAACCCAGAGGCTGCAGACAAGTTCAAGGAGATCAACAACGCCCACGCCATCCTGACGGACGCCACCAAAAGGAACATCTACGACAAATACGGCTCCCTGGGGCTCTACGTGGCCGAACAGTTTGGGGAGGAGAACGTGAACACCTACTTCGTGCTCTCCAGTTGGTGGGCCAAGGTAAGGGCAGGTGGCAAGCCTCCAGTCTGCAGGGCACTGAGAGCTCTTTGATTCAAACATTTACGCTCTGAGACATGGTTTCTGGGCAAGGGTCAGCTCCTCTCCTGCATCATGGCACAGGTCTCTGGCTGGTCTGGTGGTTGCTATGACAAGCCAAGGCACACGGAGCCAGACGCGTGGGGAGCCGGTTATGGCAACCTGAGTAACTCCAAATTTCCCTTCATTTTTGCATTAGCATTTCTTTCTTTCTTTTTTTTTTTTTTTGAAGCAGTCTTACTTTGTCACCTTCTGTAGAGTACTGTTGTATCATAGCTCATGGCAATTTTTTGTTTGTTTGTTTGCAGTTTTTTTGGCTGGGGCTGGGTTTGAACCCGCTATCTCCAGCATATGTGGCCAGTGCCCTACTCCTTTGAACCACAGGCACTTCCCTAGCTCATAGCAATCTTAAATACTTGGGCTCAAGAGATTCTCTTGCCTTAGCCTTCCAAGTAGCTGGAATGACAGGCGCCCCCCACAATGCCTGGCTATTTTTTAGTGATGGGGTCTCACTCTTGCTTAGGCTGGTCTTGAACCTGTGAGCTCAGGCAGTCTGCCCATCTTGGCCTCCCAAGTGCTGGGATTGTAGGCATGAGCCACTATGAGCCATTTCCTTATTTTATTCCCAGGGTCTTTGGCATTTATAAGGCTGAAGGGGGATGGGTGTGGTGGCTCATGCCTGTAATACCAGCAGTCTGGGAGGTGGAGGCAGGTGCTTTGCTTGAGCTGAGGAGTTTGAGAGCAGCCTGAGCAAGAGCAAGACTTCATCTCTACTAAAAAAGAGAAAAACTAGCTGGGCACAGTGGTGGGTGCCTATAGTCCTAGCTGCTGTCCCTCAAGAGGCTGAGGCAGGAGGATTGCTTGAGCCCAAGAATTTGATGTTGGTGTGAGCAATAACACAATGGCCACCTAGCCTGGGTGACACAGTGAGACTCTGTCTCAAAAAAGAAAAGAAAAGAAATATATGTATATATATACACACATATGAACAGAGGGCATGAATTATCCCATGGCTGATAACTATAGGAAGCCTAGGCTCAGCACCTGTGGCTCAAGTGGCTAAGGTGCTAGCCACATACACCTAAGGTGCTGGGTTTGAATCCAGCCCGGGCCTGCCAAAACAACAATGGCTGCAACCAAAAAATAGCCGGGCGTTGTGGCGGGCGCCTGTGGTCCCAGCTATGTGGGAGGCCGAGGCAGGAGACTCGCTTGAGCCCAGGAGTTAAGAGATTGCTGTGAGCTATGATGCCATGGCACTCTACCCAGGGGGATAGCTTGAGGTTCTGTCTCAAAAAAAAAAGAAAACTATAGGAAGCCTGTTTGGGGCTTGTACTTGTTGGCCCTCATTCCTATCTTAATTTATTTGCAATTTTGGCCGGGGCTGGGTTTGAACCCACCACCTCCAGTATATGGGGCAGGCACCCTACTCCTTTGAGCCACAGGCACCGCCCCCTCATTCCTATCTTTAAAAATGTTTCTTTAAGCAACTGATCTCTTTCTGTCTTTCCTGCTGAGTTCTTTATTTACAATGCCGTTAGCATGAAATGTGCCATCTGTAAGAGGGTACTGTGCTATGGCCTGCTGGTGTTCTCAGGGCCACACAACTCCTGCCTCTTATACCCCCAGGCCCTGTTTGTTTTCTGTGGCCTCCTCACCTGCTGCTACTGCTGCTGCTGCCTGTGCTGCTGCTTCAACTGCTGCTGTGGGAAGTGCAAGCCCAAAGCGCCCGAGGGTGAGGAGACAGAGTTCTATGTGTCCCCCGAGGACCTGGAGGCACAGCTGCAGTCTGATGAGAGGGGTGAGTGCCCATCCTAGGACCCGTATGTGTGCGTGGGGCAGAGCCAGCACGGGCCCTGAATGCTGTCAACCTATCTTGTCAAACAGGAGGGCACTGACACTGTGCCGCGAGTGTTTGTGGTGGCAGCTGGGACTGTTGAGGTGTGAACATGGACCCTGGAGGTAAAGCAGGCGCAGAGGGCTGTCCCCACCCGTGACCTGCGGTAGCCATAGATCCCAGGGGCTGAGAGGTGGGCAGGGTGGCAGGGGCTGAGGGCCAAGGGCTGGAAGTGACTGGAGGTGGCTGAGGACAATCAAATTGGGTGGACGTCAACAAGTAGCCTCTCCCTGTGGAGTGTTTGTCCAGGTGACCGAGTGTTGTGTATAGGATGGTGTTGACAGGCACGGCCAGGCAACTGCCCTCCTGCAGTGCCCTGCATCTACTCACAGGATGGTGTTGACAGGAGTGGCCAGGCGGCTGCCCTCCTGCAGTGCCCTGTGTCTGCTTGCTTTGCAGAGGCCACAGACACGCCAATCGTCATACAGCCTGTGTCTGCCACTGAGACCACCCAGCTCACAGCCGACTCCCACCCCAGCTACCACACTGACGGGTTCAACTGAGTGCAGGAGGAGCTGTGGCCAGAGGCGGGACCAGCGCCTGCCCCCAACCTTAGCATCATGAACTGTAGTCACAGAGACGGGGAGGCTGCCACCTGCCTGCCGCAGCCACGCTGGGCCCCTCCTGCCGCCTCCATGCCCACCCAGCATCGACCCTTGACCCACGAAGTGCGTAGCATGCAGTATTTAAAGCAGTGTAGCTACGGTCTTCTTCTGTTTTTCCTTCTTTACTAGCATGTGTGGGGTTGTGTTCCATGTCTGTTTTGTGGACGTGCTGCGGCTGGGCCGTGGTAGCTGGGTGAGGGAGCTGCCTTGGGCTTTCAGTCAGGTCCACCTAGTGAGGGTTGGCCATAGCCGCCAGATGCTGCCTGGCCAGGTGGGCAAGGGAAGAAGAGAACTGTCTTTTCCTGTCCTGTGATCTCGGTGGTGGGAGGCACCGGAATGGTGATTCTGTGTTGGCCGCAGGGTCTGGTCTGTGCTCTGTGCTCCTAGCTCCAAGGCCACAGCAAAGTTCTGATATCACCTACTAGGGAAGGGGCTGGGCCACATCCTCCCAGCACTACCAGCTTCCTTGTCTGCGCTCCACGGTGCTTGTGTTGGGCACAGCTCACATGGCTCTCTTCACCTGTTGATGGGGCCTCCAGCAGGGTTGTTCCTGGGGGTCAGTTTGTGGCAGGAGGTGTAGGAGCCCATCTGAGCCTGAAGCCATGCTCTCCACAGTGTGTCCTTCTTGGGTCTCCTTGTCTCGTGGCTACGAGGTTCCTGTCTTTGGAACTGTGTCCTTTACCAGTGTCCCTCCCCATACAGCAAGCTGGACTATTTGGGCCACATCTCTCCTCTCCCCTTCCCTGGGTCCTCCACATTCCTTTAGGCCACCTGTCTTTTCCGGGATCCTTTCTGGACCTTTAGAACCACAATGATGGGACCAGCGCAATTAGTCACAGTCCCAGGGGCTGTGAGTTCCAGTGTGGGTGGTGCATGTGTGAGCACCCTGCCCTGGGATGAGTGTCCCCCAGAGCCCCATCCGAGTGTTGACCAGAGCTCCCTCAACCCCACTAGCCTTCATCTGTCCCCCATGATAAGGCAAGACCGGAGAGCTGGGTCCCTAAAGGCAGGGCTGACTGGGCTTTGTGAACTGTTGGGAGTTGGTCCCACCTGTCTGTATCCCAGAATGGGTGGGGAGCTAAGGAAATGTGGGTATGACTTCCGCATGCACACCCAGGGTTCAGAGCTTCCCCAGGCCCAGCAGCTGCCCTTGTCCTGGCTTGACCCCTGGAGCAGAATCCAGGGCTGGTTTCTGCAGAACTTAACTTTGGCTGCTACCGAGTATCTCTGAATTTCCAGTAGCGATGAAGAGGAAGAGGAAGAGGCAGTGGTGCCTGAGGTGGCTCTGGCTCGGCCACACCAAAAGGGGCTTCAAAATCCCACTCCTCCCTACCCACCTGCTGACTCTACTGCAGCTCACCTCAGCCCTTGCTGCCCACCCAGAGCTCTGCAGAGAAAGATGTGCTAAGGAACATGCTGCTAGTGGAGGTGACCCTCCAGGCCCAGCAAACCTGTGTAATGGCCCAGACCATAGACCTGGCCTAGCCATGAGCCGGCTGCCAGAACCAGGCCCTTGGGTAGTTTGTTGTCCCATTTTGCTTTGCTTTTTACCAGTTACAATGATCATGAAAATTTTGGTGAGAGGGAAGATATGCATCATGATGTTAAGTAGAAATGATTTGTTAAAATCAGACCCATCATAAAAGGATAAGAGATTTATTGTTTGACCCCTCCTGAAACAAGGGAGGAGGAGCGATAATAGGGAATCTTCTTTGCTGATCCCAATACAACAAAGAATTTAGCCTGAGATGCTGCTACAGCCAGTCTTTGTGATTTTTCTTGAGACAGCTTAGGAAGTAACTTGTTTTCTCCCTAGAATAGCCAAGAGCCAGCTTCAAAGCTTGGACTGAGGTGGAGAACTGTCTGTCTGGGGGCTGGGTCCCAGCTCCATCTGGCCCTCTGGGGGGTCTCATGCAGCTCTTTCATACCTGTCCTGGTGGGCCCCTTGCCAGGTGGCTTCTCAGGCCCAGGATCCTATTGGCTTTTCTTAGAAGTACGCAGCTCCTCCTGGGTGGTGGGGTCTGGCAGAAAGAGCAGCAGGTCAGCAAGGTTATTGAACCCAGTCCCTTACATAATTTGTAAAAAACTAAATAAATCATGATGGCCATGACAGCAGTTCTCAGAGTGATGATGATGATCATGATCACACAGCCCCAAAGCACCTGGGCATCCCAGACAGCTGGGCCTAGGGTTCTTCACTCTGCTTGACCCTGAGGCAAAACCCCTTTTCTGTGACCCTGTTGGTTGTAAGGTCTTGTCTTGATTCAAGGAAAAAGATCTCCTCAATTTCATTCTTTTTCTTGAATGGACTCTTGGTCTCCTTTGAATAAGCAGAGCTGGTATCCCTGCTCACTTGCTAACACATTGGACACCGTGCCTGTTGGAGGTGACAGAAGCACAGGGGCACCTCAACCCCACTCTAGGATGCAGCATATTGTGCCAGCGGGTGCTGTGTCAGTGCATGTTGGAGACCCATCAGTTCCCAGAGCAGGGGTGGCCCCTGAGAAGTCTGGCAGTGTTGATCACTTCTTACTGTTGGGAAGCACGTGCGAGAGCCCGTAGGCCCCAACACAGCAGCTGCGGTGTAGATTTCTGTGCCCTCTCAGTGTTGTGGACTTGTCTTGTCTTCCTTCTGGCTTTATTTTTAGCTATTACTGCTTGGGGTTTGTGAACCTCCCTGGTTCTCTGACATGCAATTAATGCACCAATACCCAGTGGGACTTTTTAGAAAAAAGAAACCCCATTGTGCTACAGTTGGCAGGAGGCTCTGTCCCTGTTAGCTATGGACTTGGTCCTAAGGCCCAGTCAGGAAAGGCCTGTAGCATGAAATAGTCATGACTGTCCTCAGACCTTCTGCCTGTGTGTCACCAGCAGCAGTGCCCATTGTCCCATGGAGCCTGTGACAGTCTACTCCAATGAGCCCTGTGCAGCTGCTGGTCTGGGGTGCTGCAGGCAGAGTGCAGGTGGATCCTGCCCACCCTCTGGCTCTCAGTGCACCTACCATGGGGTGGCTTTTTAGGCAGATAAAAAGTGACTGATCTCATTCCTTCCGGTTTTCTGAGCTGTGTACCCATGTGGCACAGGACTGGCCTGTGGTTAGTTTGCTTGTAAGTCATCCTCCTGTGGAATTGACAAAAACTACATTTTTACTGTCCTTACAAGCAAGGTTCACGTTGTCACATGCTGTGAATGTGAGCTGTGGTGTGTGTCCGTGTGTGTGCATATGTGTATATGTATGTATCACGCAGCAGGAGTGTCATGCTGTCCGGCAGTGAAGCAAAAAGTACAATAAAAGTTGACTCTGAAATGGCCTCTGTTTTCTCAGCAAGTTGGAGGGACAGGGTCTCCATATGGTTTCGAGGGGTGCACAGAGGGGAAACACCCAGGCTACGTGTACAGGGACTGCATGTGCTTGAGTACATCAGGCATTGTCAGGGTAAGAGTGACTATCACAAACACCTGCCCATCCCTGTGGTCATGCTCACTTACCTAACCCGCAGGAGTGAACCCATGTGAAATCTTAGGGATAACGGAAAACCCTTCCCTCCCTTGAAACATTAAAACCAGTTTTCCAGGCAGCAGATACAGTCAGTAGCAAAGTTGCATCTGAAGGGTAGCCTGGGAATGGGCTCTGCCCAGCCACATGGGAGTGGGCAGGGGCCACAGCACCATCCTGCAGGGTGGAGACGGCCCAGGACATTATTGGAGGCACTTCTGGGTAGATTTTGTTTTTTTGGAAAATGGGGGTAATGTTTCCAGCCAAGTGAGGATAGGAAGTTTACTCTGAGACATACATGCCTTGTTTTTAAAATTAAAAAGCAAATGCATGGAAGTCATCTGTCCATGCACTGGCTTTGTCCAGACCATGTTGGGTGTAGGCTGCTGTCAGCACCTCCAGCCAACCCAGCAGAACATGCACAGGTGAGGCCAGGCTGGCTTCACAGAGTGGCCACTGTCTCGCTTGTCGGAATGTTGACTTAAAGATAACTGTTGTAAAATAAATGTTTTCACTGCAAACTAGGTGTGTGTCTTATTTACTGATACCTGCAGAACCCTGATCTTGGGGAGTCTTAGACTGATTTGGCAGCTGACCTTGGGACCCCTCCTGGGCCTCCTGGAACCTGGGACATCACGTCCTTCTGCCTGGTTCTGTCTTCACGCCTGCTTTCTGAATGCCAGGCCTGTGATAACAGAAAGCAGTCTGTTGGTGTTGAGGTTTAAACCAAGGGCAGCTGCAACCATGCATTTAGAGCCCTCATGGGCATGTCCAGCCCTCAAGAATTGAAGCCCCAGCGGCTTCCTTATACACCCTGGCTTCCCTGGCCACCCAGAATAGGTAATGCTTTACTTGTGCCCACTGGTAGCCCTGTGGCTCTGGTGGCCACACCAAGCCAGCAGCCAATAGCCCTTGATCCATCTAGCTATCCACATTGCTAACCATTGCCAGATCGTCCCTGCTGCTTTCCAGTGCCTGCTGGTCCCAGTAAGGGCAGGCTATGACTGCTGAGCACACAGTGGTCACCATGATGAGCCAGGTCTGGATGTGAGCCCTCAGCCACAGCACAGGTCTCTGACCTGAGCCAGCAGCAGAAGGTGAGGATGAGGCAGAAGCCATCTGGATAGCCCTGCCTGTCCCCTGGGGCTGTGACCACACTGCAGCTGAGCCTGTGTTCTTTACTGGCCTCAGGCTGCCCTGTCTCTGTGTCTGCCTCATGTGCTGGCCATAAGGAACAGATTTCCCAGGGATGCCCTTCCTTCCACCGCAGGGTGGCTAGAAATGTGGCTGCAGCAGCTCCTTTGTACCCAATGTCTGGCTATCTCCAAGCCATGATAACCCAGGCCTGTGCCCTGACACTGGAGTGTGTTCTGAGATTCCTTTACCTCATCACCTGGGCAGGGAAAGGAGCAGGGGTCCGCCTTGGCCCAAGCCAAGCTCCAGTGCAGGCTGTAGTCTGGGTAGGTACCCTGAGCTCTTATGGCCTTTGTAGTTTACCCACCTCTGGGGCAAACATCCAAGTGGGGCTCCAGGCACCCTCCTGCTTGAGGGCTGGTGTGTCCCTGAGGGTGCTGTTCTGGGAGGGCCTTCCTGGATGTAGCTGGGGCCCGGCTTGTGCCCAAGGACCCTGGGACCAGGGCGACAGAACCCTTCTGGCCTAGGGAGCCTACAGGGCTGACTGGCCAGCTGCAGTTGCCATCTGTGACTTGGTAACTGCAGCCTGTGACTTGTCCCTAATGCAGAGTGTAACTGCAGGGACCCTCCTCCCTGGCCTCTCTGGGGCAGGAGTTCTGGGTCTTCCTAAGCCCTTAGGATAAGACAGTAGTTCTCAGGACTTAGAAGCAATTTAAAGCTAATTTTAATAATGCTTTGGGGGATAAAAGCATAAAAGTACTAAGAATAATGTTAATAATT